ATAAAACGAATTACATACGTAATCCAAACTTTTCCGCTCCGCAGCAATTTAGTTTACCTCCCGCTTAATGTTTAACCAAAATTTCAATGGATCCTTTTTTCATAGCATTTTTGACCTTAAAATATAACTATTTCGACCATTTTCCATACAAAAGTGTCATTTTCGAAAAAAATTTCAAAAATTTCAAGAAATATTGATTTCAGACCAAATTTATGAGCAAGTAGGTGTTCGGTTGTTTGAAGGCTCTCAATATTTTTGCAAAAAAATATCAGTTTGATTTGACCAAAACCCTAAAAAATGGCTTTCTGTGTGATTTTTCATATAAAAGTCTATTTTTCGAGGAAATTTTCAAGAAATGTCGATTTTGGACCAAATTTATGGGCAAGTAGGTGTTCGGTTGTTCACAGACTCCCATTATTTTTGCAAAAAAATGGCAGTTTGCCTTGATCAAAACCCCGAAAAATGCTTTTTTCGGGTACTTCCAGTACAAAAGTGTCATTTTTCAAGGTTTTTCAGGTCCTCAGTCGGAGGCTTATGGTACAAAATTGGTAAATCAGAATGGGCTCAAAATCAATCCAAAGCTTTGTCTCGACATGCCAAAACTTTTGGCTTTTACAAATCTCAATTATCTTGTCAACTTTTTGAGATAATCGGCGAACAAAAAACGCGGACGCGGACGCGAACGCGAACGCGAACGCGAACGCGAACGCGGACGCGGACGAAGCCATACGAACATCGCTATTTTACACATTTTTCATAGTGAACAACGTATTTTTGGAGGCAGATAGGTCTTGATCGATAGGATTTGTTCCCATCTACGTTGCCTAGGGTACAGATATGTGCTTTTTGAAGTTTGACGTGACGTTATAGTGGTCCGAAAGTGGAGATGTCATGAAATTTCGGCTAGTAAAACCAATACTTTTCCATACAAATGAAGTTTGCGGAAAAGTAAAAACCAAAACAACATTCTCTACCCTGCCGTGCTCTGTGTGCACGACATGGTTTTTAATATTGTGATATTTATGTCACATCAAAATGATTTTTATTCAGATGGGGATTATTCCCTTTCAATTTCCGGCATTGATCTAAAGAATACTTTTGCTTCAAGGATGCTGTAGAGAATGACAGCGAAATCGAACTCGGTTCCGTGTAAGACTCAGGAAGAATGCAATATCATCAGGTCGAAGGAAGAAAAACAGGAAACGATTTCATTTCATTCCAAAGATGAAATTTCTAATTTAACCACATAATTTTGATTTTGATTTTGTGTGCAAATGATATTATGACTCATTGGGAATTTTGCGTTTAGCTTACGCATGACGACGATTCCACAACAAGTGGGACAAAATTTAGATTTCACCCCTCTGATTTCGCTCAAACTTGGTGTACTATAAACTTGATATGTCCAAAAACTCGCAAAGCCAAAAAATTAGGGTGACCTTTCACCTGATGTAAAATTAGGGTGACCTGTATTTTGCGAAAAATTGACCATAGAACTTTTTTGACATATCTACACTATGAAAAGTGTGGTACAACTTTCAAAAATATATGCATGGATGGATAGATAATCGATGGGGTCATAAAAAAGTCTTCAACGACCACCCATCCGGTCCCATTCAGGCTCTGAAAAGTGGGTTCAAAGTATAAAAAGTGAAAAATCTCATTTCTTGGTTTTTAGTCGTCAAATCTTGTCGAAATTTTTTTGGAAAAAACTGAGGAACAAAAATCAAACTTTGCGACAATGCGATCGACATGAAACTTTCAGAACCTTATTTTGTCTCCAAAAAATGAAACCTCAGAAAGTTTGAAGCCAATTGGAGTCTTCTACTTTGCTCTTTCGTATCCATCTACCTCCTATACGAAAGTGTCTAGAAATTTCGACTAAAATAACCGATTTTCATTTAAAAAATTGCCTTTAATTCAAGCAAATTAAAACAAAAGTACGGACAACAGTATGGAAAAGTTTGGGATTAATCGGCGTTGCTGAACATGATTGAAACATTCGAAATTTGCTTCTAGCTTTTTCTGATAATTTAAAAGCAAGAAAAAACATTTTGACATCTCGCAACAAAGTAGCATTTATTAGCTATATTCTGACCGCAAGTTTAGCACATGCAAGACGGCAACAGCATCAATATCGGAAGGATATGGTTTTACCCGTATTGAAACATTTACAATGTAACCACTACAACAATTCATTGGAGCTTGAACATTTTCAACAACATTACTCGTTAACATGTGTAATGACAGTTATTGCCTGCACTACAATGCAACCAGAATTGCGGTTTTGAAAAATACAATGTACACAAAAAATACGGATTTGATTCACATTTCCAGCAAAAAATAGTCAAACGCACACAAGACACGAGCACAAATAGCGATAAAAGCGAACGACGTTTGCTGAACATTGTTTAATTCGAAAGAACATTAGTGGGAAACGAGCATCGCGTTTAAGCCATGAATTGTGAATAAGCGAAATCTGCATTACGGATGTAATGTTGCGGTTTAAAGCAAGCTACCGCACTCAATAACCGTACATCAAGCCTTTCTCTTTTTTTTTGGTATGGGATCGGCTATAAAAACGCATTGCACAATCCACATTCATTCTGTTCTACACAAACCACCTTCAATGAATCAGTCCTCCTAGAAAAACTAGCTTCATAGTCAAGACAAATTTGGAAAAAAAAGAGTACAAAGTTGACCTTCTTAAGTGGAAGTGGTTAAAAGTTAAAGTGAAAAGTGAACTCAAATCGAAATGCCAATCACGAATAGGGTGACGTTGCCATTGTGTCGACCACGGGAGCCCGCATTCGTACCGAAACTAAATTGTCGATTCGATATTCCGGCCGATCATTTGGTAATATTCACAATGAATTTCTTTACCGTAATAAATACATTTTTGCACTTATAATTCTTTGGCAATACTAAAAAATATGAAGTTGATTTTCAGCCCGCCAAGTATAAGGACATTGGAGTTGACATACTTGAGCAATACAATGATGATAACACCCAAAAGTTGCCAGTTAAAGAGATTCAGTATCCGAATTTGAAATTTTTGAAAACGTTCAGTAGACGCAGTGATTTTACTGCCTTCAATCCTCAGCACATGAAATATGCGACTGAGTTGATGAAAATCTTTGAATCAGCCAAAGATTTGGATGAACTAATATCGCTCGCATTGTATTGCCGTGACCAATTGAATTCGGATCTGTTCGTTTACTCATACTACACTGTGCTGGAACATCGCCATGACACCCATAATCTTGAACTGCCATATATATTCGAAATTAATCCGCATCAATTTTTCGATAAGCACGATTTATCACAATTGCAAGCTGCTACCTACGAATCGGAAAATATAAAACGCAACACCCGTGCCGCGGCTGACAAGAATGAACCTGTCGTAATTGAAGTGGCGTTCCGTGGACGTATGTCCATAGCAAATCCCGAAGAAAAGCTGAAATTCTTCCGTGAAGACATCGCAGTCAACTCGATGCACTACCAATGGCATACTGTTTACCCGTTTGATGGGCCCAGTCCAGAATACTATGATAAAGATCGACGCGGTGAATTGTTTTATTTTATGCATCATCAAATAATGAATTGGTAATAATTTTTAGCTTCAACCAAACCAAATAACAGAAAACGTAGAGAAAAAACATGTTCATATTCTGTATGTTTAGGTATGATTGTAATCGTTTGACGGCTGGCATTCCACTAACTGTACCCTTTGACTATTTCCGTAAGCCAATCGAACGTGGTATCTACCCGGAATTGACTACAGCCACCAATAAAAATTTAATTTCACCACGTCAAGATAATGTATACTTGCAAGACCTTTTGCGACCCGAATTCAACCTTAAAGTTGCTGACCTGGAACGTTGGTATGAACGAATCGTAGAAGCGGTCGACAAGGGATTTGGTATTGATGTACGTGCATTTGAACTTTTAGGAGGTTCACAATTTTGAAATTGCTAATTGAATGTGTTTTATTTCAGCCATGTGGCAATAAGATCAATTTGCTGAATGATAAAGGTATCGATTTCTTGGGTAATACAGTTGAACCGAACGTTAAATTATCAATGAATTCGGATTATTATGGATCACTGCATAATTTTGGACACGTAAGTCTTGATATGATTTTTATAAATGCTTTCATTCATTTTTAACTAAAATTTATCGAATTTATAGAGAATAATCGCTTTTGCTCATGATCCAACAAACAAATATAAAACACCGCCCAGTCTTATGAGAGACACTGCAACTGCATTGCGTGATCATGTATTTTATGAATGGCATAAAATGGTTGATCAACTGTTTATGCGACTTAAGAACAAACTACCATCATACAAACCACAAGATTTACAACTAAACGGTGTCAATATTACATCGCTGAATTTATTGGACGAATCGAAAATATCCGTTGATGAGTTGATTACGTTTTGGCAAAAGTCTACCGTTGACTTGCGTAATGGATTGGATTTCCAATCGAATAAGCCAAGTCTGATTACTTTTACGCATTTAAATTACCAACATTTTACATATTCGTGAGTTTTGAATGCATTTAATGCGGCTTTTGCGGTCAATGTGACTAACAGTGAGAATATACGATTAATATTTCATGGCCTCATTGTTTATTCAATCGATCTCTGATTCAGAGATTCTCTGAATCTACTTCCAAATGATAAATTGAGTTCCGTGATTCAATTCCATCTTCAGATTGGGCGTTGAAAACCGAAATGATACCATTGTTGAAGGAACGGTGCGCATTTTTTTGCTGCCAATCAAAGATGAGGCAGGTGAAGATTTTTCATACGATGGATGCCGAAAACTCGCCATTCTAATTGACCAGTTTCCATCGAAATGTAAGAGTCATATCAAACACTGCACTTTTATTTAGTTGAAACACAGAGATTTACCATGACGCACCTTATAAGGTTTTGGACTTCGATTGAAAGAGATGGTTTTGTATATATCCATCTCTCTTCCTCATCGAAATCGAAGTCAGAAACCCTATAACGCTCGTCTTGTTAACTCCCTTTGAGTTGAAAGTTCATTTCGTTTTCTGATATTTCCACAGTTTCACCGGGAATGAACCAAATTAAACGAAAATCATCTGAGTCGACCGTAACCATTCCATTTGATCGAACATTCCCCGTGCAAAAAGATGGGACCGTATTATTGGTAAGTGAAGCATTTCACATATAAAATCAATTCCATGGTACAACAATTGCACTTTTTATGCTAAATTTGTTTATTTTTCTCTTTCAAATCTCCATTGACATGAATTGGTCGGTTGTGGAAAATTCCATTGACATTTAGTCGGACCAACCGGAGGCTGTTAAAACATTTTGCAAGTGCGGTTGGCCTCAGCATTTATTATTTCCAAAGGGAACTGAAGATGGCTATCCATTCCGACTTTTTGCTATGATTTCCGATTATAAGCTCGATAAGGTAACGAAGGCCAAACACATTTCTTAGAAGATGTTTGTTTTAACCTAGAAAAAAAACTCTTGTTTATTCTAAGGTTGATCAAGGTCCATCGAACGGTATTTGCAGCGATAGTTATGTATTGTGCGGCCTACAAAACCGAAAGTATCCGGACAAACGGCCAATGGGCTTCCCCTTTGATCGGCCGGCCGATGATGGCGTTACGATTTTTGATGACTTCTTGACGGGTATGGGAAATATGATTTCCAAATCAATAACCATACGTCATCTCGACGAAAATATGGCTCAAGTGGACAATGTATCCAACAAAATTGTGAAATTATGAAATTCCAATGTTCTGATTTATCTTCTGCTCAATCTCTTCTTGATTTCTGTATTCAATCTCCGCGTCATGCATTATATACGTTCTAACCAAGAGTCTCAGGTTTTTCTTCTTGACAACTGATTATAATCAAAACTTATTTTATCAAAATATTGTAAAAAAAAAACAAAACTAAGCATTAAATGTTCGTATTGTATGTATTTGTGTTTATTAAATTGGTGGCAAAAAAATGAAATGATTTATTACCGAAAACAATCTGACATGTCTTATATAGACTTATAAAGTAATTAGTGTTTACAACTTTTAAGCTTTTTTGATAAATGTCAATTCAATCATCGCTCCAAAAATCATTTCGTATTCGTTCCCGAAGGTTGACTTACAAATTGCTGTATTATCATATTCGTTCATGTTCACAATAGGAGTTAAAGTAAGCACGTATCCACTACTATTCAATTTAAACCTTGCAAGTTCCAATTTCGGGATGTATTTCATTGGCTCATACAAACATTGTGGCTCACAAAACAATTTCAATGTACTTTCACCATGAATCCATTCCACTGCTTGATTGACGCAGGTATGAATGAATAATTTCTCTATTTTCATAAATGGCTTATTCAATGAAAATAATGAACCACTCATCACTTCAATTACTTCTACTGAATCAGTACAATATTCGGAAACGTATTCTAACACATGATTCTACGTTGGTGTAAACAAACGGAAATATACCGACCCATACATTTTTACATGAAGGAGGCGAATGTATCAAAGTATCATTGCTGAAACAGTGGATCTATTTGAAATTGGAAAATTGCACGTCGATACATGAATATGTGAACAAAAGCGTTTCAATCAGATCAAAAGTAAAAAATGCTGGTTTTGATATAAGCGAAGAAATTGCGGGTTGCATTTTATTCTGCGGTCTAAGTGAGGAATATAATCCTTTTGTGATGGCCATGGAAGCAAAAGAAAAAATTACATTGGAATCTGTAAAGAACATGTTGTTGCAAACCATTGATGTGAATCGTTCGGAAGAAAACGAAGATTTCGAAGCAATTCAGGAGCATTCAAAAGTGCTTCGCTAGATTCAAAAGAAATTCAGAAGGTTTCGAAGCACATCAGAATGCTTCTGAATTGCTTCGTCTTCATCTGAATCTACTGAAAATGAGTAAGGTCTTCGGTCGGTGATGATTTCCGCGATGCTGATATTAGATAGAGGTTTGGGGTCTTTGACAAAGTTGTAGAACTTCAGACCCTCTATCATTTTGCTGAAGACTGTTATCAGTTATCTCTTATCAGTTTCGCGGAAAACGCGAAAAATGATAAGAAAAAAACCTTGCTATACGTGTGTGTTTTTGATTTGCGCCCAACTGATAAGAGATAACAGATAACAGTCTTCGACAAAATGGTAGAAGGTCTCAAGTACTACAACTTTGCCGAAGACACCAACCCACTATCTCTTATCAGCTTCGCAATACCCGCGACTGACCGTGGACCATCACTCATTTTCAGTAGATTCAGAAGATTTCGAAGCAATTCAGGAGCATTCAGAAGTGCTTCGCTGGATTCAGAAGAAATTCAGATGAAAACGAAGCAATTCGAAGCATTCAGAAGTGCTTCACCGGATTCAGAAGAAATTCAGATGAAAACGAAGCAATTCAGGAGCATTCAGGAGTGCTGCAATATTTTAATGAAAATTCAGAAAAAAGAAGCAAAACTGTCCGATGATGAATTGCTTTTTAGAAGCAAAGGCATTTCCACTCGGGTACTGGCTAACAAATTTGTAGACCAGTAAGAAAACTTCAATAAGAACTGAACGCACTCATCTGAACTGACGTTTGTGACTGACATTTAAATCACCAGGTCAGAGTTTAAATGAAACCAAACATCGACATTTTTCTATTAAGTTTTTGAAAAAATAATAACTCAAATTATAAAAATGACTTTTAAATTGAAAATTAATTGAAATATTTTAATTTTTTTTTAAAATTTGTATGGTTTGAATCAGAATACTCAAATCAAAAATTATTATACTTTGAATGTGTTCATTCCACACAGATAGCTGGCTATCGATTGGCTTACACCAGTTATTGGTGTAAGCCAAGGCTAAGACAATGCTGGCTAACGAAAAACCATCACTATTGTTTAGGGTTAGTTGGTTTTATTGAGAAAAAAATTTCAGGTACAAAAAAACTGATATCAAATAAAAAAAACTTCTTTCGAAGTAATTCCTCGTGACGAAAGCGAACACAAAACAGCTGATATCAATTTTAAAGAATCATTTTGGAGCGATTTGGATTTGCTTTTTTTGCATTCTTCCAACTAATTTCAGAGACTTGAAAACCTTTAGCCCGTTGGAACAACTATTATCGTCATTCTTATTCAAATCTGCAATATAGCCAACAATGTCATATTGGTCTGACCACTATTCTTTTATGATTTTTGCAAAGGATTTTGAATCATGCGGCGAATTTGTTAAAAAAAACAATGTTTTTGTAGTAAATGTGTAGTAAATTTCTAAACATTTATTCAGCCATCGAATCTATCATCTCAACTAAGTTTAGAAAGGGCTTTTATGTTCTCTCCAAATTTACGTTCTCGCATTTCCACGTCTTAAATAATTGCCCTTGATAATATCGGCTCCTTTTTCAGCCACCATCATCACAGTCCACTGTGGTGTTCCCCTTATTGGAACTGGTATTCTAAAAGTTCATTTGTGATGCCACAATGATATAAAATATTAAACTTTTAATTCTAAAAAGAAATCGTTCAAACAACTTTGAAAACTTACACTCCGGCATCAATTTGTCTCAATTGTTTGGTCTTGTAAACTCTCAATTGGGGATCAACAACAGCTTTTGGATCGGTCGATCCCCCCATTTTGCTGGTGCCCACTTGATGTGTTCCACTGAAACTGACATACGTGATGTAACAATCCAAATAAGCATCCGATTGATTGTCAAGTGAATCGCACTCCGGAATGGGTACTGGGATAAATTTAGCGTCGATTTTCTGCAGTGATGGAGTGTTGGCCAAGGCTAGTTGTCCTTTGATAGCACGTATCACCGTTGCTCTGTCTTCTGGATCAGTCAAGTAATTTACGTAGATGTCTGGTCTCTTACAAGTCGAACATTTCTTCTTGAGCCGAATCACACCACGAGACTTGGGCTTTATCAATGTAACTAGCACAGCAAATGTATCGTATTGTTTGTTCATTTTGATGACATCTGCGGCCAATACATCTTCGAAATCAGTAAGCTTGATGAAATCGGTTAGTACTGTTTCTGAATATCCACGTGGGAAGCCTGCCATGTATAACTGAATGTCTGGTGAAGAGCTGCCATTCGTACTTAAATACGCCGATAAAATTGATCTTGCCGCGAGTGGTCCAGAGTTATGCACTAAATATTGGTAAAGACCATCTAAATCGGCCAATGGTGACAAAGGTGTGGTACTAATATTCAGGGTGAATATCATCGGAATGAATACATGATCGATGTAATTTTCTCCAACAGCCAAGTCGGCCTTACATGGTATTTTTCGTTTCTCCAAATGCTGCTTTGGTCCAATTCCTGATCTCATCAGCAGTGGAGGACTTTGAATCACTCCGGCCGAGACGATCACTTCTTTTCTTGAGTATGCTTTCATTTTATGCCCACCCTTGATGGTGAACTCCACTCCATAAGCTTCGTTATTTCTATTTATGAGAACCTTACGAACAAATGCATGTTTGATAACGTGCAAATTATTTCGATGTCTGGCCGGAGTCAAAAACGCACTCGCTGAACTGCTACGAGTGCCATTAAAAGAAGTCGCCTGTGACACTGTATACCCAAGATATTTGTCAGCATTCACATCGGAAACGAACTGAGCTCCAGCAGCTTTGACTGCATCTACATAGGCATCTTCAATTGGTAACAAAGGAACACTTTCCACTTTAAACGGCCCGAATGCATTGTGATATCGGCCATTGTCGTACGCGACAAAGGTTTGATTTTGATTGCCTTCAAATTTTTTGAAATACGCTAATACACTTTTATAATCCCATCCAGGGTTGCCAAGGGCTGCCCATTCGTTGAAATCTTCAGGTATTCCGCGCTCATAAACCATGTGACTCATGGACGATGTTCCACCGAGCATTTTTCCACGAGGTAGGTAACAGCCTCTATCTCCAGCTAGCTTACATGCTGATGTCGAATTGCCATAGAACTTCCAATCTATTTTCGTTTTCACTAAATCGAATACAAATCCAGGAATCTATAACCAATTTGAAAAGAATCAAAACATAAGCAAATTGTCTGAATTTTCTCGAAACGTTAATTCGAATGTAATCTTCAAAGAGGATGGAAGTAGACTCGAGCCTAACTCCTAGGATTTGGCCTATTTTGGGGTATCGAGCCTATTTTATGAATTTGAGCCTGAAAGCCTAAAACCATGTTTTTAATGAGAATTCTACACATTTTTGACAAAATAATGAATTTCTTTTGGGTTGGGGCACCTGGTTGAATGCGGTAATCTTCTACTGCGAAAAATTTTCTGTTGTGAAATCTATGGTTGACATATTTTTTTTAAATAATTGTCATAATTTACTCATGAAATCCTCAAAAAACTATTAAATTTTCATCAGCTTCCTTAGATTTTTTGTCAGTTTTTATTTTCTCAATTTTCGACCACATTTTAAAACTGATTACATCCTATTTTTCAAGCCTAATTAGCAGTTTTCGATCTTAAAAAGCCGAAAATAATGTTTTTCCGAGCCAAATTCAGAACATATTTCGTCCATTTTACGAGCTTTTTAGGCGTTCAAAATCAATTTTATTGAGCCTACTTTTATCCTCTCCAATAATCTTTCTCTTATGCGAGTCTTACTTGAGATTCAATGGGCGGATTTCCACCGGCTTCGATCAAAAGAACTTTCCAAAATGGAATTTCGCTCAATCGACTGGCAACGACAGAACCAGATGTTCCTGCTCCTACCACGATAAAATCGTATTCACCCAAACCTTTCTCAAGAGCCACTTTTCCATAGTCACTGGGCCACTTGTCAGAGGAGGAGATACTACACTGAGCCGTTAAAAAGGTTTGCAACAGCGTGGCAAAGATTTGATTCACTGTACCAACACTTTGTGCCGCGCATGTTGGCGGAATTAAACTATGATTACAATGAGTCATTTCACCACCAATTGCGATGAAAGATAAATTTTAATTCAGTTTTATTGATACCAAAATATAAAATGTGATTCAGGCCTTATGTGATCTGCTTAAATACTTGTTTTTATTAATATCAAATTTTTAGTTTTTAATCATATTTGAACAATAAATTATTTTTGTGTCAAGTTTGAAATTCGGCCAACAATAAATGTAAATATTTAAATGACAAAATGTGTGTATGGATCTTTGGAAATATCTGTGATGATCCGAGTTACTAAGCACTATTTGTAGGAAAATTACTCCAAGCAATGTTATTTATTTAAAGTTATTTTCTTATTTTGTTTGCTTATCACTCAATTCGTGGCAGTTTTATCACGACTTTTTTTAGTTTAAATTTAGAAGTGCTGGAATTCATGGCAGCGAATAAACGTGTGCAAACTGTAAGAGTAATTGAAGTTAAAACACACACGTTATTTTTTTTTTCAATATTAAAAGTTATAGATTTGTAGCATTCGAAATCTCTTACTTTTTCAAACCTTTAATTATTATTATCCATATTCAGAAATAATGTATGCCAAATAATTCGAAACAGATGTTATCAAACGAGCCACCTTCATAAATTTGATGTTCATGGACCAATAACGAATTAACAGCTTACGTTTAGCTAACAATAGTTCAGTGTTTCTGTTGTTTCTTCTGTCGACCGACCATTCCACACGAAATCAATCAAAAACCACATGAAGTTTTCAGAATCGACTGAAACTTTGCATTTAAGTCGGGTTTGAGCAAAAACTCAGAAAAAAAATTTCCGCAGGGTCTGCCCCTGGAGACCCTGTATGTCTGTATGTATATGTAACCAAATAAAAAAACTTCTTTTGAAGTAATTCCTCGTGACGAAAACGAACACAAAATAGCTGATATCAATTTTAAAAAATCATTACGTAGCGATTCTGAAATTAGTTGGAAGAATGCAAAAAAAGCAAATCCAAATCGCTTCGAAATGATTCTTTAAAATTGATATCAGCTGTTTTGTGTTCGCTTTCGTCACGAGGAATTACTTCGAAAGAAGTTTTTTATTTGATACAGTATTCTCTTTCTCAGGGAGCCGAAATTCACTTAAGTTTTCCGAGAGATTAAGATTTCTGCTACTTAAGATTTCCGGGGGCGCACTGCACTGTATTGTTAAAAATGAAAATTATAATAAAAAGAAGGAAATGAACTAAGAAGAGACTCACCCATCAATTGCTTAGACATGTTTATAGTCAAATCACTTGAATAATAATTAAATGTGTCATTTATGTATAATCAAAAATTGGATGTTTTAATCTTGTCGTTATTATGCCACGCACGGCAAAACCAAATTCCTTACGACGGAATTTGTAAATAAATTATTCAAGAAATGTGTTTCCATTCGAGCTTCTTACGTCATTTCTCGCGTTTTGTCAATTTTCTTAATTATTAGTGGTTGGAATGCACAGGCGCAGATGTGTAGATATTCGCTTAAAATTTTACACGTGAACAACAAGTTCCAATGAGAAACAATTTGTTATTGATGTACGTAGGGGAAGTGTGGTAGAATCGATATGGAGTGTTGACTTTGAGTAAATAACTTGTTTACTTTTGTTTGAAAAGTGTGCGATATAAACATATTCCAGGTGTTAGTCCATTGTGGAGCACGTGGGGCAGTGATAATAGTAAAAGAAAAACATATCTAATGTGCTAATTAATTGATTATAGTGTAGACAAGTGCTGTCCAACCTTTTTTTCCGCGTAGCCACAAAAGTGGCCAATCGTTCAATCCAATGGCCACTTTTAAAAAAAAATGTACTGCGTTACAGTAGAAAATGTAATTTGTTTGTTTATTCATTCAGTGATTAGTAATTAGTGGGATGTTTGACAATCTTTATTTTCGGTCAGTTTATTAAGATCAGGCATTGAATTGGCTAGTTCGCAACGAAGTTCAGATTCCAAATTTGTTTGCGATAGTGCATTGCGGTATTTATGTTTACGACGTTTTAGACTGGAGAATGAAGCCTCACAAACGTTTGTGGACCCGAACATGCAAAGGAATCGAAGGACTTGTTCACAACAAAGAGCATTTAAACCAACTCACACGAAATGAAAGCTCGTTCTCAATTAATAGTTATGAGCATCGATGCATTTCAAGCACTTCGACGCTAGTCAAAGAATAAGGCACAGATGCAGAACAAAAAGTAAAAATGAAAAATCTCAGCTCAGAAATATTTATTGCACGTTTTTCACTTAAAAATGAACAAGAGCCACTTTAAACCTGATTGAAATTAATTTTTATAATTTGCTGTGTATAATTTATTTACATTCTGTCAAAGAAGTACTTGGATTTTCAATATAAACTGCTTGCGGTTTAGGTTTTGCGTAAAACATTCTTTCGCTGGATTTCTCCAACAAATATCCATTTTGAATATAATGTCTCTTTACTGCATTGATTCATTGGAGTGTGCAAATTTCATTTGATTTAAGTATAAAATCTAACATCGCCGATGGTTGCTTATGGCATATCACTCATACAGATCGCAAACCTAGCATAGAGAACTTTCTGAACTGCTCTTAAGCATGGATGTTTGTTGCACAAATCCAGGATAAATATATTCTACTTGATACCAATACCTACACCGTAAGCAATTTAAAAGACAACTAAGTTGAGGTGTTGTTTTTTGACAGAATATTAATCGATGGTCGAACAAAGCAGCAATATTGGTGTGGTCGAAGATTGATAAAAAGTACCGAAATTAATATTCTAGATGACAATAGAATACGGGAATCGAAGTAAATCATCCGATTATTCAGCTCATTCACATTTGTCCACCCTTTTCTCTGAGGTAGTTAACCATATCCTTGAAATCTGAAAAATAACACAGATCAATGAAAAAGATCCAAACGGTATCTTATTTAGTCAACATTACCACTGTGAACAGCTATTTGAAGAGGTGTCCGATTCTTTTCATCTCTAGCATTAACATAGGCTCCTCTACTGATGAGAAGTTCAGCGACATCTTTGTGACCTGCAGAATAATCCAGATCAAACCAATGTCTTATTTAGTGAACATAAATATTCAACATTACCACTTTGAGCAGCGTAGTGAAGTGGAGTCAGTTCATAACCATCTTTTTCATTAACATTGTCTTTAATGAGAAGTTCGGCGAGTTCCTTGTTACCTGGAAAATAATTCAAATCAATAAAAGATCAAAACCGATTTTGTGAGAATAAAAATTCAACATTACCACCAGAACATTCATTTTACAGTGTGCTAGTCCCACAAACGTTACTCGAAGTGGGAAATTCAAAATTTAGAGGAGAAATGACATACAGTTTTCATACAAAATGTTGATGTAAACAACATATTCTTTTGTGGGTGGATTGAAAGTAATGAAAACTGTCTGTTCTAAGCACATTTCTCCTCCGAATTTGCGATCTCCCACTCGGAGCACCATTTGTGGGACTAGCGTACAGTAAATTGAATGCTCTGTTTACCATTCTTAGCGGCGTATTGAAGAGCTGTCCGTTTATAATAGTCTTTAACATCAACTTTGGCTCCATTGCTGATAAGCCTTTCAGCAACATCCTTGTGTCCTGAAAATTTACACCAGTCAATGAATAAGATCAAACTTATTTCTTATTCATGAAAATATTCAAAATTACCATTCATAGCAGCCAAATGAAGAGGTGTCTGTTGAATGTGATCTTCAGAATTAACATTGGCTCCTTTCGTGATGAGAAAATCAACGACATTCGTGTGACCTAAAAAATAACACAGATCAATGAGAAAGATCAAACCAATTTCTTGTTTTATGAAAATAAATGTGCAACATTACCTTTCCAAGCAGCCAAATGAAGAGGTTTGCGCTGTAGTTTGTCTGTCGAATCAACTTTGGCTTTTTTCACAATTAGCTTTTCAACGTCGTCCAAATTACCTGAAACAGATCAATGAAATAGATTCAATCAATTTCTGATTTAGTTAGCATAAATATCCAAAATTACCATTCTCAGCAGCGACATGTAGAGCTGTTTGGCCGCGTTCGTCTTTTTTGTTTGCTTGAAATTTAAAAAAAAAATAAATCAGTGAAGTAGATCAAAGGAAAATATCTTACATCCGCGAGATGAACTTTTCACGCTCTTGTGTAGAAAGACAGCGAAATGAGTGTTCAGTTATTTGGAGGACTTTTTCAATTCCACAGAAAAAATAAGGTAACTTATGTCGAGAACCCATAAAATAACCCATAAATTTAGCCTATTTTTTAAAATATAAATCCCGAATTCAGCCAAAAAAATTCATTTTTCTTCTATTGAAGCGAATATTTCACGTTACACTTTAAAAAAAACGATTCCGTATTGGTGTAGTATTTGGAAAAAAACAACAATACCGTCAGAGACAAATGCTAATTTCGAACTGATAATTACTTGATAGAGAATATGAATAACACAATGACGATTGGAATGGATGATTCAACACGTTGTTTTTTTCTTAATCTAATTATACGTCAAACCAATGTTAAATGTAACGTTACATTTTGTATTTTCTAAAATGCAACAAATTCGTCATGAATGGTTTGAATCAATTGAGTTTTGGTTATTTTGGCCTGGATTCTTTGTTAGATTGATGGAAAACGCATCAAACGGTGCTTTGTATGTCGAATAGTGAGAATGAAACATTGAAAAGAAATTTAGCTTCAATCTTACCTCTTCTAATGGCTCCCTTTGCTTTGTCAATCAACCCAAATTCACCACCACATTCAATTTGCTTCAAGTTGAAAATTAGCAACGCATAAATGGTACCTAGTTTGGAATAACCAAATTGAATGAATTGAAATGTAAAATTAATGGATTTTTGAAAAGAAAAAAAAACATTTGCCAATATAAAATGGTGGATTGATATTGCTTGGGGTAATGAACCGCGTGGTATATTTTTTTGGTTTTCCTTCGTTTTCGAAAAGTCATTTTATATGGAAAATGAAAAAAATATTCTTCTTGTCATCGATCGACATAATGCAAATTTTTTTTTAGAAAAAGTTGTAAGTTACCATGAATTGGTCTCCCAAAATCGCAACCAGAACCAAACAAACTAAACGGAGAGAAAATATTGATTGAAAGACAATGAGTGACTAAAATCCTAAGTATTGTCAAAAATGAAAATTAGCAAAAAATGAAGGAAAAAAGAACTAAGAAGAGACTCACCCATCAATTGCTTAGACATGTTTCTAGTTGAATCACTTGAACAATAACTAAATTTCCACTTATCCATGTGTGGTGTATCATTTATAGTCAAAAATTAGATCTTGTAAAAATGTCGTCATTATGACACGTATAGCAGAACAAAATTCCTTACAACTGAAAACGAAAACAAATTATTTGAAAACATGTTTTTAATTCGAGCTTCTTGCGTCAATTCTCGCGTTTTGTTATTTTGACAGGTGCAAATGTTTGGATATGTAAATGAACTCGTATTGACGCAAAGGAAATTGCGCATGAAAACCACAAGAGAAGAGCAAGTTTCTGTCGACTTAAAAATGGTTAAAAGCGAGTATGTTCGTTTTTAGCGGGTCCTCGCGGTTTTTCACGGTTTCCGCGGAACTGATAAGAGATAACAACTTGGTGGCTTCGACAAAGTTGTAGCACTCGAGGTCTTCTATAACATTGCCCAAGTCAGTTATCTCCTATCTCTTATCAGTTCCGCGAAAAGCGCGAAAAATGATAAGAAAAAAAAAGTTCCATATGAAATTTTCTTTTTTATGTGCGCGATTTGCGCGCAACTGATAAGAGATAAGAGATAACTGTGTTCAGCTTAGTTATAGAAGACCTTGAGTACTACAACTTTGCTGAAGACACCATGTTGTTATCTTTTATCAGTTGCGCGAAAACCATGAAGACCGCGGAGGCTAGACGGTACTACAACATACTCTACTTTAACGCCAACAGAATCATCAGAAAACATACTCGCCTTTTCAAAAATAAAAACCGAAGAAAAAACATACTCCACTCTCAATCTCACCCATAGATATACTCGTGACGCAAAAACTGGCATTTTTGATATTTGGCTTGAAATGCACAGTCTATGGTGCGTCACTTGTCGGACTGACGTCCTCCGTGATTTTTCAAATGTTTTATTTCCTTTCCATTTAATGATTGAACATATAGTCAAAAAATAAATTGAGCCAATAAAGCTTAAAGAAAGCATAAATAGACATATCAAAGTCATTCAACGCTGATGGAATTCCTCACTTCATTAGGTTTAAACCTGTTGTAGGACATATAAGCTGCAATTTTTTGACATGAAAATACTACTCAAGTTCATTAAACGAGGTGCCAGGTGGTTAAATTGTGGTGCCCTTAACTCGTGCGCAAACGGTTGCGGACACAGCCATCGTAACCAACTCACATACAAAACGTGCTGTGTACGTAACCGTTTCCGCACGAGAGAAGTGTGTGCGGCAGCTGTGTGTATGTGTGCGATATGCTAGCATATTATGCCGAGCATTAAATACGGCTTGCTTGTTTCCATGAATTTTAAATCAAAATTAAATTCAGATTTTACCAACAGCACTGAGTCAAATTAGAGAATCATCTACATGACGTGCAGTTTGAAAATGTATCGAAGTTTATTATGCAATCCAATACACCATCGCCGTAACGAATTGCCTTTGAACAACTGGACAACACACAAGGATTTTCAGCCAATTGGATCGTATATATCGTAGGAATTGCTCATTTGAGGAAAGTCTCGATTAATGGGGAGCCGTAGATAACGATCAAGTATTAGAATTTGCATGGACATTTTCGAATTAAGTGTAATTAAATGTTATTTGCGAAATTGAAACCATCATGGGCCTCGTTCAAAAGCACAATGAACTAAAAAAAAGTGTAATCGTCTTTTTCACCGTCGGAAATACCCGGTGAGGGACGAATTAGAAGTTTATCTAGATGAAGAGTGGACGCTGGACGGTCAAAGAGAGCTTTTGCAGCTTTATTCACCAACTAATTTACTGAATATTGTCAATTTTAAGCAAAGTAATTTTCGTTTAGAAACAATAAATGGAAGAATGAAAAAAAGAATCATTTCCAATTGCAATTCTTCACCAATAATCGTTTATTTGAGCAATGAAAACAATTTCATCACACCGATTTGCATTGAAATGCATGTTAAATTTGAATAAAATTGAAAAAAAAGTACTCTTTGAATGGGATTTTGGAAGCTGTTGTGTTTAGTTCTGCTTTTGTCATGTTTGGTACCCCGGACCCAAACATTCCTTGTCCGGTTGTCCACCTGGCATGCAACGCTTTTCGCAAACAGACCATATATGCTTATTGCAATCGCGATCATTCCAGTTTTTATTATAATTCACCCATTCCACGCAGTGTTCGTTGCCACCATTGTTATCTGGTTGATTTTGTCCCCAATGTGTATACTTGAATGGCTCACCTTGAACATAAGTGGAAAGAAGTTATTTCAATTGCATTTTGTCGATAGATTTAATTTTCAATATGAATACCATTGGACATCCACATGTAATTTTTATTGTCAAAATTCCCCGAATTTGTACCACCTATCCAAAAGTTTATATCCCTTCCAGTCCATCCTACGTAAAAAAAATGATACAACAAACGGTATTAGAAGACATGCATGTGATTGACACATGCAAATTCTATTACATCTTATATGAATTTACCTAATTTTGCAATCGCCTTCTCGAATAAGCATTCTTCGTATCTTGTATTAAATGTGACCAGCTATTGAACAAAATGACGCATTCATCAAATGTTCATATATATAAATATAAAAAGACCTCGCATCGCGTTAGGAAAATTGAGAAATTTCGGAAATTCACAAGATTTTCACTATTGCTTCTCGATTTTCAAGTTTTTCTTGAAAATTTTCAGAGATTGAAAGTGTGTTGCAAATTGAGCACAGGGTGTGTGTGTGTATGTTTCTACGACCGTGCGCTCGGAGTTTGTAATGAATTTCATTTTACAAATGATGCTATTGTTAGTGCAGGACAATCAACACGAATCTCCAATTTATCCATAGAAATCTTGATGCAAGGCCTAAAAATAAATTATTTCCAATACCTGCATTCCATGGTACATGCAGAATTCCGCTGCTTCGTGCCAGTTGTACTGAAAAATGCACCTCGTGATGATTTTCATTTTTCGTTTTTATTCATAACGAGAATAAATCACACACCAATTGCTTTATAATTCAGAAGAAGTCCGAAAAAAATAACTTTTAATCACTTACATTGTCATATTTATTGAAATAAAATCCATTAACCATTGGCATAGTACCATCATCTCTGTAGTATTTATCAGTTTTTTCTCTTTGCCCATTATCTGCAGGTATTTTTTTTTAGCAATCGAAACAATTATAAATTTATAAAACTATTATTAAAGGTTGATCAGTGATCACATCATTAGGAAAATTGATGGAAATTCCATTTATTTTTCGAATTGGATTTTAGCCATGAACTTAGCTCAGCATTAGTTTATGTGTTTCTTGTCAATTCTTACATTCTTGAAAACCATTGTCTGTGCAATTTTGTGACAATGCAAATATACATCCAAATAGTAGAATCAAAAGTCGTAGCATTTTTCTAAAAAGAAAACTTCAGCATTTAGACTAACTTGATTTTTTTTTCTTAGAAGAATATAGAATTTGGGAGTTATTTCAGTGAAATACATAATAATTAGATATTCAACTTACTTTCCAGGTGTTTAACTGATGATTGCTGAAATAAAAACTATTTATTTTTCACATCATTCGTGATATTTATAATTTTAATATAAATTTAAAGATTGCATAACAACGAAGAGTCATTATTTTGATTCCGTTTCCATTTAATTTATAATCATGAACTGATTGTGCAATTGCATTATTTTCTGTAGAAAAATTTAATCGAATTTTTTTTGATAAAGTGATTCAAAATTAGTTGTACAATGTACACTTTTCGTAAGTAATCGAAACGGCATATGTGGTATCGTTTACTTGAACAGTGTACTACCAATATGAAATGATTATTTATATTATGCTAAGGGACGTTTTGCATTTACAAACACCTAATATAAGTTATTATGTGGCAAATTATTATAGATAACATCTCGATAGAACTTTCTCATTTAAATTGAATTATTTTATTTTCAAATTGAATTGGACTCATTTGACCTAATTTCAATAGACATGTTGAAAGATATTTGCTGACTAAATTTGATCAGTTCAATGCAAATTTGACTTATTTTACATCACTTTTTGGTGTGATTTCAATTGATTATTTTGCAATGATTTCCATTTCTGCGTAATCTCTCATTTAGAGCAAATGGTTTTGCCAAATTCAAGAATGGCAAATAAAACTAAATCAAGCCAAAGTAGGTGGAAGGCATTGAAAATAGACACACCGTTTATTTTGCTTTTGTTCTATAATATTTTTTATACATTGGGTGTTTGTCATTTTTAAGTATGGTCTCATAGCCTAAATATATATGTATGAAAGGTCCCATTCATTTTACATGTAAAATATCTTCTACAATTGCAACCATGTGCTTTGCTTGCTTTTAAACGATGATTTTCTTGTGTTTTTAATTTTTTTTAAGCGTTTTAAGGTTTACAATCGGGCCGAGTTTCGCAAATGAAAAAAACTCTTCTGGAACATTGTTCATCGTCCCATTGATTTATGTTGTGAGCACGTACAAAAAGTACACAATTCTGATCACCGCCTTCATTATCTGGTTTACCCGGTGCCCAATTGGTGAATGTAAACTTTTTGCCAGCACTAAACCAATAGAACGATACCAAATCACCTAAATTTGAGCCTCCAATCCAGTATAACGGTGGATCTAGGGGGCCTAGAAAGAAATTTTATATACATAAGAATGGGCGAAAATGATGAGATTTTCGAATTGAAATGAACATATTTTTTATTTTTCAACATGTTCGGCGACTTATCATTCGCTTTGGAATGTAAAAAATAGCTTAAAAAATTAAAACTTACTGAACTTCAAACAAATATAAAAGATTGGTCTTTTATTTATTTAATTTGAATTTTGACTACCTGCGTTTATGATCGCTTGCCGTACATCTTTGTCTTCCTCTTTCGTCATAGGATTAGCTAACTGCCAGTCACGATTAAAACAATATTCCGCCGCTGCCCACCAGGTCATCTAAATATATGAGTTTTTTTTTTTTAAACTAATTTTCAACTACAATCGGTGACTGCTAACCAGCATAATATGCTGACAAAAGTAATTGAATTGAATTCATCTAAGATTAAAGCCAACACATTTAAGTTTTATTTTACCGGTTCAAAGGTCTGTACATAGTATTTCTTTCGGAATGATGTACCATATGTACAGTTGTTCTTCGCATAGTGAATGTCCCCGTTGGGTTCTGATAAAATTTAACAACAAAAATAACATGACAAAAATCATTTGAATCAATTTAATTTTAATGAAATTTCAAACCCAACTAAATTTGTTAAATTTCTCGATTTCGCTGTGTGTCTCAAGTATGTTATCTTACCATTTGGAGCAAGCTCAACCGATGTAATGGAAACAAAAATTACTAATACCCACAACATGTTACGCGAAAGTCTCTGATTCAAACTGATTAAAATCACAAGATTTTTCAGATTTTATTATTAGAATCAAAAGTGACTTGTTATAGAAATGTGTGCATATATTTATATTCTATGATTTAATCAGTAATATATTTCAACACATTCTCACGCTCATTTACGTTTCTATTATACAGGGAAAATTAAAATGAACGTCAATTAAAATAATAATACATTTGAGTCGAGTAAATTTTTTATATTGTAAAATACATTACACACATTTGGGTGCATTCAATTCAATTTGAGTAGCTGAGAAAATAAATGACTTGTTTTTACTGAAACATTTACGCCATGTGGATCACGATTTTATTCTTTTTCAAAAAAGCAACATTAATTTCAAGCAACCTTAAAGTGAATCATGAAATATATACGTTGATTGAGAAATTGACTTTTGAAGGATGGCCAAATCTTCCATACACACTGATTCGAGCGAAATTTGGCGAAGATAAATTGATCCATCATCACGAAGAGATGTTATAGTAATTTTATTTCCAGAAACTTTTTGGGCCATGTCGAATCCATGAATTCTCAGGATTTGGCCACTTCTTTCATGTAATTTCTCTTCCAAGAAGGAAGTGCTTATTCTCTGTGTAGATTTTCTTATCCGTACGTTGTTCAAGTTTAGTCATTCTTATTTTTAGCCACTCTCTTTGCTAAAATATGGATACTCATCAATACTGTTAAATAAAATTGTAAAAACAATCATACATGAGCAAGTTTTGACTTCTTTTAAATAACCACAACATTGAAAGAACCGTGTCCCGTTTTGTATGGAGCTTGGGCCATTTTGTACAGAGTTCTAATGCATATCATCTTAAAGGGTATTGTGTGTAGATAAATTATATATAGATACCCAACCCCTAAATTGTGAGGAAAGGGGTTAAAATTGGGAATATGTTGGCAACCCAAAAATAAAGGTATCACTTCCCAGGGCCATAGCTCCCTAACTATGGGAGGTAGGGCAATTTTCCTTGGGTCAGAGTTGTAGTACTCATGAATACCTATCCAAAGGTATACATAATATTTCCATTTGTTCATAGTAAATGAAAAATACCTTTATATGAAACAATGTTATTTTTTGGGTAAAACAATCATATTATACCCATTTTCTGGGGCTGGGGCAGGGGCTATCACTTAGGTATGTTCAACAAAGTTGTACAGCGTTCCAAGGAGAACAATATTGCTCCAAACTATTTTGCCCCAAAGAGGGCCAAACATGCCTCATATGTTTGTTTTGGTGATTTTGTGCATTTTTTGGCCCTCTTTCGGGCCAAACTGTGGAGGGCGACCTCACCCAAGATATTATGCAACGTCCTGAACACTTCGTCCATACATAGTTATCCACTAAATGGTTTATTTCTTGACCAACAATGTGTCGGTATTGAAAAAATTACTCACCCCTATAACATCCCGTTTACACCCTGTAGGGCAGGTCAACCTTGATATTATCGACATACTCACTACGCCCCACTGTTCCACGGTATAAGTCTTATTGATAAACATCGTACGACACAAAAAGGAACACCGCCCTTTGTACCAGGCTAAAATTTTATGAGAGTAAAGGGCCGTAGACCCGTTATTGAATAAGATGGGGCAAAATAGTTTGGAGCAATATTGTTCTCCTTGGAACGCTGTACAGCTTTGTTGAACATACCTAAGTGATAGCCCCTGCCCCAGCCCCAGAAAATGGGTATAATATGATTTTTTTACCCAAAAAATAACATTGTTTCATATAACGGTATTTTTCATTTACTATGAACAAATGGAAATATTATGTATACCTTTGGATAGGTATTCATGAGTACTACAACTCTGACCCAAGGAAAATTGTCCTACCTCCCATAGTTAGGGAGCTATGGCCCTGGGAAGTGATACCTTTATTTTGGGGTTGCCAACATATTCCCAATTTTAACCCCTTTCCTCACAATTTAGGGGTTGGATATCTATATATAATTTATCTACACACAATACCCTTTAAGATGGTATGCATTAGAACTCTGTACAAAATGGCCCAAATGGGACACGGTTCTTTCATTAAAGGATTCCATGTACGGACTAAAAGTTGATCGAACAAAGCAGCAATATTGAGGCATGGTCATAGATTGTCAAAAAATGTATTAAAATTATATTCTGCAGGGCAATCGAATACTGGAGTCGAACACATCAAAAAATAAAATTCTACATCTGGGCGTTTTTTCAGCTAAAGACGCATTCAGCCGATATTTCTGCTAGTACCTTGAGCGAACACATACAGGCGAAATTCCGCTCATAATCTAGTCGGTATTTCGTCTGAAACTCCGTTTGCTAGGCAAAATATTGGGCTGGGCGCCTCTACCAGTCGAAATTCCGCCTAAATGTGGACATTTATTTTTGACTGTGAAGGGAATCATCCGATTTATCAGCTTATTTACATTCGTTCACCCTTTTCATGGAGATATTTATAGCAACCTCCGCGCGAAACAAATATTCAATATTACTATCTAGTAAGCAGATACATTAAGAGGTGTCTGTTTCTGATTATTTTCAATGTTAACGTCTGCCCCATTCTTGATGAGTCCTTCAACGACATCCTTGTGACCTACAAAATAACATAGATCAATGGAAAAGATCGAGCCAACACAACCAAAAAAAAATTCGGCGAAAGAAATTTTTCATAGTAGCAAAAAAAATTTGGGTCAAAATCAAGAAAAAGAATCACTAACACCAAGAAACGCAACTTTTTAGCACTACATGGAATATAGGCTACTGAAGTTGTTTTTTTTCCTAAGAAAATTTTAAGAGTCTTTAGGCCACTTTTTTGGACCGTAAATTAATTCATTTTAATATCCATATTTTTTATTTCAAATAAAGCAATTACGCCTAATTGCAAAAATGAAATAAAATCATGTTCATGTAATTCACTTTTGAGATAACTCAAAACAAAAATTCACACTTTTTTCGTTACCAATGTGGAATAATGTGCGATGATCATTCACATTAAATGTAAATAAAACACATGAGTGAAGAATACAATATCATCATATAAATTTATTTAATTATTTTTGACAATATTAAAATGGTTTGCATACACAAAGTATACTACGATTTAAACTACATTCCATGTAGTGCTCACGATAATAATTTGATGAGGAACATCAAATTAATAAAACCCCTTAAATTTACAAGCTTCAAGAACGCAGAGCGAAGCGACGATCTGCGGTCTTGTTTTTTCTATGTGCGAGTTCGACTTTCAGCACTAGTGTGCTTTCATCACTCGCGCCTGCTGTTGCCGGAAATGATTAGCTCAGGAATGGTTTTCTAAAATTGATATCACAAGTTTTTTGTTCACTTTCCGCACGAGAATTGACTTTGTTAAAG